TACACATAACTGCATCACATATAATTATTTAATTAAATCGTAACGTTTGTGAATTCACAGTTATGCTTAATTATGATTTTTTAAACTGGTTTAATATATCACGAGGCCTTGGAAAACAGGCTAATAATGTGTTTTATGGATTCTCGTCCATGAAATGCGCCACTTCCGGTATTTTGCCAGTTAGTCGATGCGAGCAAAATGAAGTCGAGGATTTTTAAAAATCGAATAGTCGAATAAAATAGACAAATCGCGACACCCGAGAAAAAAAAGAGTATAGATTTGAAACACGGGAGTGAGTAAACAATGACATAATTTTCACTTTTGGCTGAACTTTTACTTAAAAAAAAATAGGCCTGTGGACCTACTCATCAGAATTTGTCATTTTAACAAGTTTGTCAATATATATATATATATATATATATATATTAGAGTTTTTTGGGGGGCTTGTTAGTGTGGCAGTGGCAGTGGCTGCTCTAGGAGACCTCTGAAGACGGTTTGGTTTGAAGCTTGGCTTTTACATCCAAGATATTTATGGCTCACTCGTATCAGCTGACGCAATTGCACTGAGGCCCAGAGTCTTACAGCCCCCCATAAGGAAATGGAAAGTGAAATGCGGCAAGGATTTGTGGCGTGTCTGGGAGGGAAAATTGTAAATGGGCCGTGATTTTAAAGACTGTTTAGCATCAGATATCCGGGACATGCATAGAAAATGTTTTTTGAGAAAATTGTTGATTGTGACCCATATCATCCGCTTTGAACATCTAAAATGGCTTACCTCCTCGTTTTCAGCTGTTTATACGAGTTTATTTTCTTATGTCGTCCTGTATATTGATGTCAGAAGTTTTAAGGTTTCTCAACTCTTCCCCCTATGACTTGTAAAAGGTCTTAGCGCAGCACTTTACTGCCACCAGACTCAAGTCAAGGAACAGCTGGGCTCTGAATTTGAGCCAGGAACACAGGTGGTCATGTCCATCAGCTTTATCTGTATACTCAACCATCCACATTTCCCTTGTCTTCTTTCCTTATCCTTTGTGTCTCAACATCATTTTTTTTCTGTTGTGCCTATGTTTCTCCACGTGTTTACTTCGGAGTGTGAAGTGAAGTGATGGTGCTTTTTTTCTTCTTGCCATAGACCACAAATGGATGTTTGGCAAGATGTTGCAATGCTCTTTCTCATTGCAAGTGAATAGTGAGCAGAGTCTGACTGTTAAGCTCTAAAATGACAAAAGCACCATAAAAGTATTGTTGGCTCGGAATATACCTCAAATCACACAGACTTTGTGATTTTTGACATTTTTTATTTTTGGAGCTTAAAGCTCCCTGGTCTCTATTCGCTTCCACTGAATGTAAAAGAACAGTGTCAACATTCTGCTTATCTTTAAATAACATGAGATAGGGCTATATTACTGAAGTTGCAATTTTGACTTGTCAAACCGAAAAGGCTGCATGAAGTGAAGAGTGAAGCAGGGCATGTTTATTATTATTATTATTATTATTACTTCTTTAAATTTAAACATTCAGGCAGCTCAATTTGGGTTGCTTATAACAGGTTTGGGAACACAACATGCACCAACCATCTTCCCAAACTTTTGCAAAGCAAAAAATAAACAGACAAGCTGAAAAAATATGTATGAGACGCTTTTTTCTGCCAATATGAAAGCTTGATGGTTTAACATTTGAAAATTAAGAAATATATTAGAATTGTTATTATGCAGTTGTACGGTAAATAAAATATAATACATGTCATAAATATAATACAATTATTGTATTATTTTTCTATTACAGTGAAATATTACAACAGTTATATTCCTTATTTTGTTTTATTATTATTATTATTATTATTATTACTATAATTATATTCATTTAATATCACAAAATTTTTGGCCAAATCGTGCAGCTCTACCATCAAGCATATAAAACCTTTTTTAATCACCTTTTAAATCGCAATTTTTATCAGGAAAATCACAATTAGGCTTTTTCTCTAAATGGTTCAAGACTAACAATGTTGACAAAATGTTGATTTTTGGTTAAACTCTTCCTTTAGGACCTCTTCTGGTCTGGTCTGTTTCCTGTATGCTTGCCAAAGTGCTACACCTGGTGGAGGACTTTCGGTGGGTTTGTTATTCAGACAGCCATTTCCTCATGATGTCCTCACGACGTCACAGTGCTTCTTATGTTTCATAAATATTTGCACGGTCTCAAACGGGCTGTTGAGGGCAGAGGCTCGAGAACAATAACTTTTGTTCTCTTCCCCTAGTGCTGTCCTGCTCCAGATTTCTATTTAGAGCTCAGCAGAGAAGACTTGTAAATGTTTGTTGAAGTGAATAGCAGGCAGCCGAGACAGGAAATGTGGTAGAACTTGGAGAACAGAGGGATAGGGAGTCTGAAATATCCAGGGCAGATGTTGAAGGTTTGAGTACAGCTTTATACATGAGGGCAGACTGTGTGCATTGCATTCAAATACATGCCAACAGCAAAAGCTGGATCTCATTAGGGTGTTACCACCAAATGTCTTATTATGTTATTACACACACTAAGTGCTATTAATGATGCACAGCATTTTACATTTTGAGTTGCTTTTATTTGTGGCCAAATGTGGTGATGCTGTTGGAGTTCACAGGGTCAAGGTTTCTCATAGTCTTGTTAACCCTGCTGGTAGATGTCGAAACTACACCGTCTGTTTCCTAAAGCATCTTTCTCCATTGATGGCCATATAAAAGCAAAGCAGCTGCAGTTCAAATGAATGGGAATGCTGACAGATATTCTCCCTGTTTGGGTCAAGAAAACCTCATGAGTGTACCTTTTAGCTTTAGGGTGGGACTCTAATCTTTCCTATTTACCATTTCTGTGGGAGTTTTGAGCAAAGTTTCCTCTTAAATGTGAATCGCCAACGGAAATCTTGCTGAACTGCTTGCCAGATCAGCAATAGGTCAGAAAATTCCTCCAAAACTTGGCAGAGCTCACATGGTCTGGAAAGAATGTTCACAAATTCACAAGTTTGGCAGGATCTTGGGTCTGGGTTGTGTGCCTTATCATCAGTGTGTGTTCACACTTTGCTCTGTAGTAATCTGAAACTGTGACTGCTCTTATTTTCCCAGAAGGCATCAGACACAGGCTGACTAAGCCTTGGAGTTTCACATTTTGGTTTTGCTGTTCCAATAGTGAACAAGCGATAAGCCTAAAAAAGTCAGTGACATACATGTGAATGTGACTCATGCGTTCCTGGACATGACACACAGAATGTCATTTCCCATTCATAATGCACACATTATGAGTCCAGATGGCAGTAAAACATTTTCCACATTGCAAAATTTGGATGTTCATTTCCATGTATTTCCAATTTCCATTTCCAATATGCAAGCACTTGCATATTTCCCTATTCTCTTCACTTTCCCTTTTGGGCGATGCCTCAGGCCTTTTTCTGAGTGATTTATATGTTGTGGTTTACTTCATTGCTTCAAACGCTGCACAAGTAAGACTGTAAAAGTCAATGCTGCATCAAAGTGCTGGATTATTTTAGACTGGCTTTTTTGTAATGATGAAGGATTTATTGTGTTTAGGATTACATGGTGAGTTCTTTGTCCATGCTGAAGAATTGACTTCCTCTCAGGTGTGTTTATTCTTGTGCGGTTGGGTTTGATTGATTGGAAGGTGCTGCTTCTTTCACTGCAGTGGCTTTAGAGTTGACATGGATTTGAATAGTTGAATAGCTCAGCATGAGGTGTGGTTGGCTAATATCCATTTTTAGCTGATCTTGCTTTTAAATCTAATGCTTGTGTCATTTATTTAAGCTGATGCAACTAAAGTGTTTTTGAATGCTTGTAAAGTATAATGCTCTTTTCTTGATTAAATAGTGACAAAGGACGTGATAGAACAGGTTTGCAGGTTCAGAGAAATGTTCCATCTTCTCATTTGTTGGTGGCCTACATAAGCACAGAGCCCTGAATTTAGACATCTTCAGAATCTGGGTCAAATTATAATAAATTCAGCTGCTTTTAGATATCAAATAAATTAGTTTATTGCTTTTGGAGATTCATATTAGTGGTGTTGATGCAGGCATCTCTATTGCTATAGTTCATACTTGGGGTTAAGAAGAAGAATTAAGCTAACCTTATGTATTAAACTTTGATAACTTGTCCTGCTCAATGCTACCAGTGTTAATTTATATGCTATTATAGTTTTAAGTAGTATTTTAAAATTAGCAAAATTAACATTTTTAAATATTGAAAAATTATTTTACATTTTTTTTGGGGGGGGTTTTCATTTTAATTAAATTTTTAGTAGTTTTGTCATATACTTTTGTAATTTTTATTAGTTGTTTAAATTAATTGTGATTCCAGTTTTATATTTTGATTTCAGTTTTAGTTCATTTCAATTATTTGCCTAGGAGACATTTCAAAATTTTCATTTAAGTTTTTTTTTTATCTAACATTTAGGCTATATTTTATTTCAGCTTTGTTGCAATTAACAAAAATGTTTTTTTTAATATTCTAAATTTTAGTTGATGCTAATGATGATTCCTTTCTGCATGCTACAGAAAGAAATTATACCTAAAATTATGCAGCTTATTGAGAAGATGTGTGCTATTACTTTAAGCTATGAGACTTATGATTTCCACTTGACAGATGAGAAAACGAGCTCAACATTTCTATAGATTTACATACTGTAGGAGTGAGATGAGCAGTATGTTGAGACCAGAATAGTCATAGAGACTTGGGGGTGAGCACTTTTGGCTTTGGCCATTAAGCAACCGCATAGTAACTTCGCAGAACACATTAACAACCACATGGCATTGTGCTTTACAACATTCTTTATTTTTTATTAGAGTACCCTGGCAACCACTCACAACACCCCTGTATTGTGTTTGTTCTCAGCACCGCTCACATTTTCTTCAAAAAATTTAAAAATCTGGTTTAGATTTGAAATGTTTGTAGTTAGTCATCTCATGACACTTCATTACATACAGATTGACTAATGTTTGTTTTCTGTGGCTGTTTCAGCTGACCCCAGGCGGTAAGGCGGCCCAGGCCGGAGTGGGTGTTGGGGATTGGTTGGTGTCCATCTCTGATGCCAACGCAGAGGAGATGACCCATGTGGAGGCACAGAACAAGATCAGAGCCGCAACCGACTCCCTCGCTCTCACTTTGAGCAGGTACACACACACACTTACTCATCATCTTTCATCAGCGTCTTAGAGTTTCAGTATCATATGAAGGGAGAGAGGATGACTTCACAGGAAATTGAGTTCTCTGGTTAATACATCACTGTTAACCCTTTTATTACAGTCTTGAAAAATAGACGGTGATTTTTAAAACAGGTGGTACATTATAAACAACAAAACACAAATACTCAGACGTTTACAACTGTGATGACATCAAAGAACCTTGGAGCAGATTCCTGGGCTTTGAAAAAAAGACTTGTCTGACACAGTTTACTTTAGTTATTAGATGGTTAATAGTATTTTGGTACTCCTGCTAATGCAATTGTCTGATTATGGTGAGTTACTGTTGTTTTGTTTAGAATGCTAAAAGCATAGCCTATAGCATTGCCTGGCAACAGCCAGTCCAGAATTAAAAATCCCATCCATTTTCTTCATAGAGAAATTGATTTATAGTGATGACATCTAAACCAAAGACAAACCTACCACAAGCTCCAGGAATGGTATAGCACTGTTTCGGTGTATTTAAATTTTTTAATTAATTTATAGCTTAATATGCTGTATAAAAAAAATGTGAAATTGAAATACATTGTGTTATTGTTAACTACATTTTTTTTTTCTTCTAATTGACATTAAATAAAATAAAATCTAAAAATATCAGATGAAAAAGACCTTAAAAAGTCAACAAAAATGAGAAATGTTTCTTTGGCAAGTAAACAAAATAAAATAAGTTTAAGATGAAGTACTAAAATTACTAAAGCTAAAACTGAAAAAAAAAAAATATACATAAGAATAATAAATTAAAGATAAATTGAATTATTAAAAAACAAAATTACTAAAACCTAAACTAAAATTAAAACTTAAAAAAATATTAAAAATACCGTAATATATAAATAATACTAAAGTAACACTAAATGTATTAAGCACATAAAATCCATATGAAATATTATTTTATGCTTATTAATGACTTCATGATGTTTAGATTGTACTGTTGTTTTCAATTGTAGTTTTTTTTTAAATCAGATGTTATGATTCATCTCAGAGCTGGTTGGTTTGGTTCTTAAAACGATTTATTGAATGTTTTTTTTTAATGCCTATGGAGAAAGTGTAGCTTTGTTGGAAGAGCATGGTAGTAACAATGCCAAGATCATAGGTTTGATTGTCAGGGAGAAACAAACTGTTGCTCTGTAAGTCTGCTCTGGGTAAAACATCTGCCAAATACATAAATGTAAAATGAATGGGAAAAATACTTCAAAACCAAGGGCACTTAAAAGCCGGGCAGTCACACTTGCACTCTGTTGTGATATTTTAGCTACTAATTGTCTGTTGTTTTGAAAATTGACTTTTAAACAGTTCCTTATTTAATAAAATTTTGTTTGGCTCAAAACTGTGTCTAGAGAGCTGATCTAACAGGCAGTAACATGACTCCAAATAAAAATGTCTTTTACTTGTTGCCATAGCAATTGTGCTGATAACTTGGCATGGTACCTTGTGTGGCATTTAAGCAGAATTAAATGGCCTCTAGATCTTCAGGCCTCTTGTTTTGTGCAGACATATGTTAAGGCAGGTATTAAATGCATAGAACAGATCTTTAATGTGGCGTAATAAAATAGCTCAGACGACCCTGGGCTAAAGGTAGAGCAGATAATTTGGAGACAGAGTGGTAACTCTGTGACTTGAGCTGACCTTCACTTTTCAGCACAGAGATGGGAAACCTCCAATGCCTCGGGACGCAATTCTGAAATCGCTTACATTGCACTCCTTTTGGGAAACTGCAAGAAGAGCCCAAAAAAGGAAAGTTTGAAATGGAGCTTACTGCCCTCAGACAGAATTTAAGTTACTGGTAGAAAAAGTCTAATGTCTGCGGTTAAAAGATGAGCGTAGTTGCAGAGTGACAGATGCACTCGTTCCTGCTCTGTCATTAGGCCGCTCCTGTGATCAACACTAAAAGACTAAGAGCCTGTGTAATGGTCCAAACCACAGTTATGAATGTGGTTTTCTTCCTTTTTTGGGTGTGCGAGAATCGTTTATATGTCATCACATTGGTAAGCGCTTGTAGCAGTTAGTAATGGCTTGTTTAAGTGAAGAGGGATAAAAACGTGCTGTTATGAGTTATGAGAAATACATCTCCCTCGATAAAACAGGGCTCATATATGCATGACTCCAGTGTTTATATGTAAAACTTTTGTCTCTTTGCACTGGCAGATCTCCTGAAGAAGTGTCAAGACAAAGTCATTTCACCCTAAAATTGCAACAACAAAAAAAACCTATTTAAGGTTGTATATATATTTTATGCTATATATTTAATGCATTTTATTCTGAGAAAATGAATCCTTTTAACATATACAGAATTTTGATGATGATTATTTTTGCATTATTTTATTTTTTGGGGGGTGAAGTATAACCCGGTCATTTCTTAGCGAGATTCACTTTGATATAAGGGCTGTTTCAGGTCAAAGAGGGGTTGTCATTTTCTCTAGGCTATATAATGTCCTCTGGAATGAGGGAGGACTTAAATGAATGGGGTCGGTTCGGTCATAAAATGTTCCTGATGCAGAGACTGGCCGATTCTTCAGACCGCTGTCTGTCACAGGCCACATCTTTCGAATGCTGGGAGACAGGATGAGCTGATTGGAGGTGTGACTGAGAGTGGGCGTGTCTTCATGAGTCATATCACCAATGGCTAGATGATGTCATTTTTTTGTGGAGTTTGTTGTGACATAACTGTGAAAACATCTGTTTATCAAAGTTAATAATTACCCCTTTGCCCAGTACGCTGATAGATGACTAGTATCTTGACTATTGTTTTGGGAGCTTTGGTTGTCAGACATGTCAGTGTGTCTCTCTGCTGTTGTTGTCTATCATAGATCAATTACAATGTTTGCGTCCCATGGAAAGGCATGCTTGAAGACAAATGTCTGAGCATGTCTGTATTTATTCCGGAATATACTTTTATTACAGAGGGTGGTGTCCTTTTTGGTTTACATGGCATTTGATAGCCATTTGGGCAACCTCTTCAATTGTGGTTTGCAGCGGTTCTTTGAAGCACAAAATCTCTTTTTAGCTTTGTTGCTCTAGACCGTTGTCCTAGTTTGCCCTTTCTGTGTGCTTTGGTCAATGTTTGTTTTAAAGAATTAAATTTTATTTGAAATCAGAATGGATTTGTCTCAATGTGTTTGTCTTCATAATCTGGTCAAAATGTATTAACTTGTTTGTATTAACGGGTTTCCTGGTCGGCTAACATTATGTAGACTGCACAGGCTGTTTACTAATAGACAAATAGTTGTTTAGGCTTAAACTACTGTTACTGTTTTGCAATGGATGTAAAATGACTTGCACATTCAGTTTCATGTTGATTTTAAGCATATTAGTTTTGAAGATTTCAGCTTTGCTTACAAAGCGAAGAAAAGCTGGTATAATGCATTTTAGGAAAGCTTTGTAAGGCTTGCTTATTTATTCATTTATTTATTTACCTACCTACCTTGCAGGAAAATCAATTGCATATTGAAAATAGAAAATATAGTGAAGCTATATATTGCGTCTATATGTTGTCAGTTGCACTGGACACTGTTCATTTCCTGTGTCATTTCCTGGAACAGATGACTCTTGTAAAACAGCCTGGTTGTGCTGTTTTCTTCTACATTTTCTCTCTAAACTGATATCTGTAAGCAGGCCACTGTGCAAAAGTACACCCTTGCTGTCACAGGAAGTGGTGTATAGGCACAGGAAGTGCAGACTCATGGGGAGGTTACTGATGGAATGCCACTATTTTTACAGCCTAGTCAAACTAACCTAGACGGTCCAGTTAAAGGCAGAAGCTCTTGAATACAATGCTTATCTTGAGTACAGTGATAATATTGGATGATAATACCGTGGCACTTTGATATTTGGGTTGAATAGCAATGACAGCAGTGTCTTGCAATCTCAAATGCTGTACTTATGAAATCAGATTAATTGAGAAGCTACACATTTATTTGTTTACTTGCGATATATATTTTTACTTTTTAAAATACATTTTAAACTTGAACCTAACTACTTTATTCAACTACATAATTGTATGATTACTATGTTCATCTATGACTCATATTTAAGTGATGCGTTAGGGTACTTCAAAATAGCATTTGATAAGTTTTTGTTCATTTGTTAATAGAAGAAGAATTAAAAAAATGTAAAAGCATAGTTGGAAAAGGTATTTTTAGTGTTAGTGTTTTATGACTTCAATAACCAGAAATTTTCATACAAATCTGATACATTGCTATTCTACATGTTTGAGTCTATTCAAAATCATTTGGACAACCATCAGGTATTAGTTCACACTTACAGCTGCAGCATTCCATTCAGACTGACAAAATTTGATTTGGAGCCAGAAAGAACCGATTTAATTCCCATGAGTCTTGTTGTATTTGGCACAGATGTCTGTCTGTCCATTAGACTATCCTTAGTTAACATTTTAAACATTGCAGTTAAATGAGTAATTTTTATGAATGAGCTTAAGTGAATTGTTTTTCTACTTTTCTCTTTGCAGAGCTTTTAATCCTGCCGGAGGAGAGCAGAACGTAAGACATTTGCCCTTTTTCTCTTGTGTCGGACAGAGCCGCAAAGCTTTCGCAAGACCACTTAACCAGCTCCTGATATCTGAAGAAACACATTTAGATCAGTTCTCAAGTTCTCAGCTGTTTTGAATACTTCAGAACTGAGCAAACACGTACACACGCACACACACACGCGCAGTCGCGCACACACGCGCACACAAACACAGACACACAGACACACACAGACACAGACACACACAGACACAGACACAGACAGACAGACATAAATGTTGTGCCATAGATGTTTATTTTGTTTTTATGTAAGGTCATTATATCTTTATATAGCTTATGAAAGAAAGCTTTTTCTCAGATTTAGCTAATTTGGATAACGTTGTCCCCAAAGTATATCTAAGTGAACTCTCACACACATACTCATTTCAGCTTTCAACTAGTGTGATTTCACTCAAATACACAGTGCTTCATAGCTCATTCATAACTCATTCTCATGTAAGTTTCATGGCTCTTTTGACTTTCTTGTGCTGGTTGCATTATATTGCGGAAGTTTGGGTGGTTTGTCTGTTTTCCTGTCTGATTCAAATGTTAAGCATGTTGCTTTTGGTCTTGCTTAAACCTCCCTTCAGCAGTTTTTGGTTTGGTTGTATTTGCATCGCCACAGAATGCACAAACCCAGATTGAATCTACATTTCCCAGGAGGCCATCTGCACATACTATAACAGCAAAAGTTAATAAACTTAGAGCCTTAACAATTTAAATGTCTAACTGTAGAATTTAAATGCAAATTAAAGTAAATGCAAATTATAAACCTAGTTCATTTTTTTATATTTGCGTTTTTATAATAAAATTTGAAATATTATTTTATAAAATATTACATTTATAATTTTAAACCTTTCATATTACATATATTTATTTTTTATAAATATATATATTTTTCGTTTAATATTTAAGTATATTTAAATGTTTTTAAAGGAATGTTTAATAAAAAAATTATTAACTTGTAAAAAGAATGTTATTTTATAGTAGAGTCGGTAGCAAATAATAATAAAATAAATAACTGATTGTTAATAACTAATCAGATTTTTAACTGCCATTAAAAAAGAAAAAAACTGGAAAAAAAAATTGAAATTGTGCCCTCATGTGGCTGCAATAGCCCATAGCACGGGTCTCTGCAACAGTGCCTGCTATAATCCTACTCATATCAGTTATAATTTTACTTTAAACCCATTCAAGAGCAGAATGCAGCCGAAATAGAGGACCTTTTAGCTGTACCATGGCCTGATCTCAAGATAAATATTTGTGACCAGGGTGTGTTCGCACTTCTCAAACAATCCCCCTCTACTCTCACTGTGTTCATAATTTGCTGTGAGAACACATGAAGTCAATTCACACCTCCCCCCCAGATAATTCTCTCTTTTGGAAAGGATTAAGCATTAAAACCGTATCTGGGATTGTGCATTTACCTGTGTTGCTGCTAGTGTGTGTGCATGGTGTTGCATTTGCACTGTTTCTTTCTCCACACTCAGGATTCACACGCACCTGCATCCAGTCAGCCCAAGTACTCATTTGCACCGAGCACGACCATAAACAAGATGGCGCGGCCATTCTCTGCAGCCCCTGGCAGTGGCAGCAAGTGGCCTGTCATCAAGCCGGTGTCGTACGCCCCCAAGCTTAACCTCAACTCGCCGCAGCCTCACAATGGGTAGGTGACCAGCCAGCCAGGTCTCCGACAGAGACTCAGGCTCATTCTGTCTTTAAAGTGAGCTTTGATCGCCACGGGACGTGTTTGATGAGCATAGTCCACAATAATGAGCTCATCATACCCAAGGCTGCGTGTTTCTCATGATGCAGCAATACCTGATGGGTAAGAACGCCTGCAGAATCCCGCCGTTGTCTGGATTGTGGTTCTGAACGTTTTGCGTTCCTGCATAGTGAGGTGTGGTGGCAGGAGATTTGGGGTCAGCGAGTTCAAGAGTCTGGCCTTTAGCGTTTTTCTAGATTTATTGTGTATGCTTGGAATAAACAACATGGCGTTAAGCAGCTGTGTCTGTTTTCCTTGTTGGAACAGGCGGTTGCATCGCCACCCTGGTGACCAGACTGCTCTGGGATCCACTCAAACACGCCGTCTTCATCTGCTTTACTCTTCGTTCTGCACCTCTTTTCTGCCAAGGTCCTGAATTTTAACGAGCACTTTTATTTAAGATGATCAAAACAACAGATGTTAGCAGTCAAGTCCGGTAGAGTTGAATGCAGTACAGTTGTGCTGCTTTTTAAAGTAAACATGCAAAGGAGTCTGTGAAGGTCTAAGGTTTTGATCTAAACAGGTCGAGAAGGTTGAAATCTGTCTTTAGGCCAGGACTTGATGTTGTATGTTGCTGTTTATAGAGTCGAGACCCTCCCATAAAATCTGCTGAGCCTTCAAAGTGCCGTTACGGCCCCGGTGCTGAATTACTTAACAGCCTTACTTGGAAAGGATCCTGTATGATTCCACCTTAACACAAGTTTCCTCACAAACAAATTGCATGAAGGGGATGTTTTATTCAAATAGATGTCCTCTTTGTTTTATTCAAAAGCTGACAAAAAAAACCGAAGACTTGAACTTCAGTTGGATTGTGGGAACATTTTCAGCTAGGAACCGGAGTCGAAAGCTCTGGAGTTTTGGAGTGTAGTGGAGGGAAGGAGGGTGAATCAGAGCTCGGCTGCTGGAGTGCTGCGAGTGTGTTTGCGATCCAGCACTGTGTGTGTGTGTGTGTGTGATCTCCAGAGAACATGGAGACCTCAGTCACGTCAGCATTCTGAGCATGTTTACAGCACCGCACGCCTACAAGCTTGTCTTTACGACTGTTCACTCTGAGGGGCACTATTGCTTGCAGTGTTTGATGCAATGATGGTTAAATTGTTAAAATGAAAAGTATTTTATATATTATATATACATACAGTAAACAGTAATATTGTGAAATAATACAACTATTTAAAATAACTGTTTTCTATTTGAAATTTTGAATATATAATTTAAAATGTCATTTATTCCTGTGATGGCAAAGCTTAATTTCCAGCAGCCATTACTGCAGTCTTCAGTTTCACATTATTGGTGCTCAGTTATTAATAATGGTTCTTATTATGATTAATGATGAAAACCAATAATTTTGCGGGGAATAATTTCCTGTTCTCCCATTTTTTCTGGATTCTTTGAATATAAAATATATATATATATATATTTGAAATAGATGTTTGTTGTAACATTATACATGTTTTTATTGTGACTTTTGATGAATTTAATGCGTCCTTACTGGATAAAGAAATAATAATTTATTTTTCTTCTTTTCTTTTTGTACTTACACCAACCTTTGGAATGGTAGTGTATCACCGTTTCCATAAAAATATTAAGCACCAAAAACTTTTCAATATTCAACCCTCTACATTGCGAGTAAATCACTCGCATATGCGACTAAATCTTCACTCTGGGCGACTACCAATGGCGATTCAATTGCCAAGGTGTCCGTAGAGGGTTGATATTGATAAAATAATAAATGTTTCTTGAGCTGCAAATGGAAGGATCATATGACACTGAATATTAGAGTAATGGCTGCTGAAAATTTTGCAATAACAGGAATAAATTACATTTTAAATTAAAATATAAAACCTCAAAGACGTTAGTTCAATCATGACAACTCTCAGAACATTTTAGCATGGTTATGGATATGACAATGTTAATGTATTTGGTCTTGGCGGAACAGATCTGCTACGCTGCATGCATGTTGATTTTATCAGACGATGCCGCGATTATAAATGAGAGTGACTCCTGATTAACATGTATTAAAAGGGGTCGTGTTTAGTCACTATTTAGTGTGGTATTTTTTGACAATATTCACTCATCATGACAGTAAAATAGGGCATTCTAAGTCAATATACTGCAGTATTTCCTCTCTCAATCAGTAGAAAATATGGTTAACACCCGGTCATGCATGAAAAAAAAAATACCGTCATGTACCGTGAAACCGGTATAATTTTGGAAAATACCGTGATATAAATTTTTGGTCATACCGCCCAGCACTACTGCTGCTGCACAAATAGCATATAAAATAACCCTGTAGCAGATCTATACAGGTGGAGCTGGGGAAGGTGGAGGGTTTCAGAGAACTCTGAAAGCGCACTGCAGGAATCTGAAGTGAATGCTAGCCAGCCATATAAATGCAAGACAGTAAGCTCATTGGCTGCATATGCTGCATGAACCCATCAGCTTGTGCCAAGTCGTTTAACTCTCTGAATATCATCAGTTACGTTAACACCCCGTCAGAATGTGCCATCTAGAGTTTCATGACTGAACTATATATTTATATAAAATTATTTTTTTGTTCTTCTAGCAGTGTTGTGGATATTTTTCAAATTCCCACACCTAGACGGTTGTGTAAATTCATAAAATATAACAAATTTGTAAATTTATGATGTTTTCTAATAAATAGATTTTTTCTACTTGCTCAACTTTCAAATTTTCAGTGATTCATTGGCTAGAAATCAAAATCTCTATAAAATGATTTTATCCAGTAGTCACAAATGACTGGAAAAATCATAAATCATTTTGTCAAAATTTTGGGAAACGTGTTTAGGGTAATGTTGGTTTTGTGCCGTGAAGACAGACTCAATGTCAGTTAGATCTAGTGGCTGTAATGTTTGGCTGAAGGTTCAGGGATGTTTTTAATAATAAAGGCATATTAAAAGAGCAGAATCATTTAACTTTTTTTAATAGGAGGTACAGCTCATGTTTTCAAGTTTTCCATTGGGTTACTTACATAGCACACTGTGATTCTTTTCCCCACTAAAACCCACAATTTGCTTTGTTTGTCTCTGCAGCACGTCTTTCTAAATGCTGTTTATTCTTCTCTCCATTTCTAAACTATTTTCTCTCCTTCTCTTTTTTTTTTATCTCATTTGTCATTCTACAGATGGAAGTTCCTGACAAGTTAGTAATGCCTTTCCTTATTTCCCCCCTGTTCTGAGAAATGTGTGCAATTATTGTTTTTGGCTGTTGAATCCCAGCCCTGTGGCTCTGCTTCTATCCGTTTCCATATATGATTTTTCCTAAATTGAATTGATCTTTCCCTATTCCCAAGCCTGCATTGTTGCAGTATTGGCTTTAGGAGATGGCAGATTTCTCACATCTAAGCTGCTGTCTCACTCTGTAATTATTCACTAAGGGATTGTAAATGTACAGCTTTATTCCAATGTTGATATTTCAGACCGCAGTGGTGGAGATCAGCGGATGGCCTCCATTCAGTCGGTCTAAAGCCATGCTGCTTTAATGGACACTGTTGTGTTCTTTGTTGTTCTGCTGCCACTCTTCCTCTCTATTGTTATTTGTGCTCCTCTTCCTTTTTTCTCCATCCTGTTTTTTTTTTTTTTCTGTCTTCCTTCACTCTCCCGTTCATTAGAGGAGAAGCCTTCTATGAGGAGTTGTACCCTGAGGGGAAGTAAGTGCTGAATGCTTGTGGCTCGAATGCACTCGCTGAAAGACCGTAGACCTGCTGCTGACCTCACTAATAAACTCTTGCTTTTGACGACATTAGATTGTGTTTCATTGCCTTTTCACTCAGTAGTTGAACTGTATTGAAACGCGGCACTTTAGCTGGGTCGTTTGAAACTATTAGCAAATGTAGTCATGAACTCTCAGTGACTTCATTAGAGCATGAAGAAAGATGTGGAGCCTGAACTGAAATCACATTTCGTGGGTGTTTTGATGTATTATTTTGTGTGCATGTAGTTATGAATCTGATGTGTGAAAACAGGGTTTACAACCTTTACAGACCCAGGGACCCTCACCAGACCTCTTAGCCAACCCATGGACCCTAGTATTAAAAAAAATAAATTAATTAAAAAATCTCTGCAATTTTGTTAAATAACTTTCATGAAGACTGTTAACATTACTGCATTATATAATTAAATTCTAAAAATTAATAATGATTGTAAGTGTACTTTTTAAAATAATGTTCATTATGACATTTATACATTTAGCAGATGGTTTTATGCAAAGTGAATTTCAATGGAGGAACATATTGTGACCGAGCCAAAAATAAAAAAAAGCTAGAACACTAACATCACAACATTTATATAATATAATATAATTAATAATTGTTCTAATAATAACTTTTAATTAATAAAAATTACATTAACTATAATTAACAAAAGCGCAAATAATTATTAGATAAAATTAACAAATAAAATAATGAACATTGTTAATATTGATTAATTGTTGCTTTTCATTTATTTATTTGGTAAATTTATTTTAAAATAAATAATTTATTTACTTATTACTGAACTTATTTGCTTGTATTTGTTAATTTACTTATTTCGTTTTCTTAGTAATCAAGTTAATGTAGTACTTTTTGCTGTAATTTAATTAGTAAAATAATAATAAAAGTAATATAATGTAATTAAGTAATATTAATAACTATAATTAATAAAAAATAATTAATTCATAAAATGTATAAACATAATGAACATTAATTGTTAAATTAAAAATATTAATAAAAATAAAATAAAATATATATATATATATATTTAAAAAAAACAAAATTAAAAATGAAATTAATTCTCCACGGACCCCCTCAAATACCTTCAGGGCCCCTGGTTGAAAACCCTAGTGCTATAACATCACCTTACAAAATTTACAATGCTAATCATAGTTTCTGCACCATAAAAATGAGTTACTCTAATAGATTTGTGATAGCTTGGTGTAATAGCAACAATACCTGTAGTAACTGTTGTATTTTGTCAGAAACTTTGGTTACCATGGTATTTTTTTGGATCCTCATGTACTGCATGTTCCCTCACTGTGTTTGGTGTAGTCATCTCTTCCTGTGCTGCACGCATTACGTGAAGCCATTTGCCGATTTTTGGTGGTGTGCTGTGCTGTTGTGGTGAATGAGAGAGGTCACGAAGGACTCATGTCTCCAGGCACGGTCTGCGGGTGGAAAACACGCCCTGCTTCATCCCCAGTGATCGCAGTAAGAAGAGACTGATTGAGGATACGGAGGATTGGCAGCCACGCACCGGCACCACCCAGTCTCGCTCTTTCCGAATCCTGGCCCAGCTCACAGGCACTGACTTCAGTAAGTCAGACACGTTCAGACCGCAGCCTGTCAGCGCCGTATACTCCTCTCAGAGCAGTTGTGTTTCTCATTTGGGGTTTTCAGCATAAGCTCATTTGTGTCAACGGGTTTCTTTGGAAAGATCATTTCTCAGAGAGTCAGTATTTTGTGAAGTAATGTGGAACAAGACATTCCTAAGTAAGGATGGGAGTGGGACCAAAATATTTAATCATGATATAAAACTATTCATACTGTGGTACATCTCAAGAGGATTATTTGTGCCAGAAATCCAACCCAAAGCAAATAAAATGCTGAAAAAAGCTATTTAAAAATTATTTTATTTTATTTTATTTTTTACTAATCCAGTCAAAGTAGTAATTTACTTTCCATAACATTTAATATATCTGGTTATTTGGAATTTAACTGACTTAATTGACAAATTCATGATTAATTTTTTTATTTTATTTTATTATTTTTCGTTTTATTTTATTTTTTGATTTTGTTTCATTTTACTTGAGTTGAAATAATACGAGTCAGATTCAGAGCCATTGTAAAATAGTTGATTCACGCATACCTGCAAACTATACATTTGTTGTGCTAAAATGTAGTATTATTTGTAGATGGTGTTCATTGTAATTTCATGTTATCAATTGGATTAACTAATGTTAATGTATTGTAAATTTACAGGTAGAAGCAACATATTGTAAAAAGAAAAAAAACTTCTCCAATTATAAATCAGTGAAGATATCAAAGTAATCTTTATTTTTCTACTCTGTGTCAGATTTTTAAAATTGCGTTGTGTACTAAACCAGACTTCCGGTTGATGCATTTTTAGCATCACAGTATATACAGTTCTAGCTCCCAGCCCTGTTCCCAAGTTCCTAAAAAAAACTCCCTGTCGTAAATCCCATCTTTACTTAGTGGCAGGAACTAATCTGAGTGTAGGAGGGCATGAAAGCATGTCCTAGAGGACCCAACCGCTGATCTGATATTGAGAGTGAGATCATAAAGAAGTGGGAAATGTTGTCTATGTATAGCTTAAAGGGTTATGGTTGAGATTTCCTCCTTTATGCCGTCTAGAGCCTGAGTGGCTTTGATTTGCTCTCGAGTAAGTGGTAGGAAAGAGGTGTGCAGTCAACCATTGTTGCCATACCGTACCTGTACATCTCATGGGATTGACTCTCATGTTAAAATGTGATGGGTAGTCTCTTTAAAAGCAGCAGTCCTCAAGTGTTTTGTAGTGTTGTTCAGATATTGGAAGTGGATTTTATGTTGTGTTTGTGTGTCTGATGGTTGGTCTGATCTGTGTCTCTCCTGCTTCCCTCAGTGCAGGACCCGGATGATGAGAACTTGAAAAGGTCCAGGTAAAGAGCTGTGTGAACTTACTAATGAAGTGCGGTTTGAAGCATTAAATCGCTGGCTCTGACCTTTTACCACCCTCATTAGGAGATCACGGTGTTCAGCTCTCTGCGGAGAGATGCTGAAAATATGCTTTGATCGGCATTATAAGCTGTTGTCTGATCTGTGCATTTGCAGTGTAACTTCATACACTGATTGCTGTGTGCCTTATAATCAGACCTTCACAGAATCATGCCCTCAGATTTCTGCAGAATACGAATGCCTGTCATGTATAAAATACAGTCTAATGAAAGTTTATGTGTCAGATACCAATTCAGATTCATTGATTTTTGATGGGAATGATGCCTCATTTATAGGACAAATGCAAGGGTTTATGGAGTTCCATAATGCAAGAGAAAATTTGCTATCCCATAAGGCCACAAGAGCAGAGGAGTTGTTAGATTTGAAAAGTCTTTTAAGTACACTACTTTTTAAAAGTGTGGAGACAGTAAGATTTTTAAAAGGAAATGAATACTTTGATTCAGGAAGGATGCCTTACATTGATCGAAAGTGACCATAAAGTCATTTATAATATTATATAACATTTCTGTTTTAAGGGGAGACACTGCAGGCAAAAGCACTGTTTTTTCATGCACCCGTCAATTTTGAGATTTTGGGCTTTTTGGCTTTTCATAAAGTGTTTTTTCAGACTAGTGGAAAGAAAGCATCCAAAAAGACACTGGTAAGCGTTTCTTTTATAGCACGTTATCTATTTGTGTCAATAGATTTCAAATACAATACATATTTTTAAAGGCCGTTTTCTCAAAATGAGTTTTTTCTCCTACACTGAGCCATAAATCTCCACTTCAGTAGCACTTACACACACCAAACTTTACATTTTTATTCCTGTCTATATTCTGAAGGTTTTTACAGAGGGATTTGTTCATATATAATTTGCTTGATTATATACAACATTTTATTTCCCCAAAAATTGTGAAAATATATTGTTTTCTGGCTGTTCAAAGTATTTTCTGAATTATGGAGTGACAAAAAGAGATACCCAAAATTCCCTCTGTAAAAACATTTGCCTCTAATATGTAAAAAAAATAAATAAACAAGAATTTTGAAACTGAATTCATCCAGTGTTCAGATTTTTGTACTAGAAATGTATGCAAATTAGCGCATATTTCATTAAATAATGCATAATTTGCATATTTAAACATAACATTTTACAAAACTTGTAATACAAAAAATGTTTGCAATTATCAATGTAATCAATCAACTGGGTATGGTGATAATTAGTAGTTATTTTTTTTTACCCTATTCACCTGCAGTGTCTCGCCAAAAGCTGTTCTTTTGAAGAATCCTAAACAAAACAACAAACAAACAAATCGATGTTTCCAAAATATTAAGCAATACAACACTGATAATAATAAGAAATGTTACAGGAATAAATTACATTTTAAAATATATTAAAATAGAAAACAGCTATTTTAATTGTAATAATATTTAACAATATTACTGTTTTTACTGTGTTTTTGATCAAATAAATGCAGCCTTGGTGAGCATAAGAGACTTAAAAAATAAAAAATACAGCCCCAAATGTTTGATTGGCAGTGAATAAGTGTTATAAAATAAAGTTTTTGCCTTCAAATGCCTATTTTTGTTTTAAGCACAATGAATGTTTGAAGTTGAAATTTGAATTTCACAGCCTTGATACCTAAAACATTCGGCACATCTATGAAAGTATAAGAATTTGGACTCAGCCTAGTTGTGCTTTCGGAAATGCACTTTTTCCTATATTTCTACTTGATTTCATACCAAATTTCTTTCCACACCCTTAACAAAAGCATCTTGTACATTGCTTTCCATCAAAACGCTCTCTCTCGCTTGTGTGCAAATGCCCTTAAAACTTTTGGCTCGTTAGATTGTGCTGCCAGTAAGCATGTAGTACTCTCAGCTCCAATTCCATTTAGCAGGTTTTCCATTAAAATCAAAACCGAAAACGTGGGGGAAAAAGTCTGCAGATTCTGTCTGGGCCTGGTTATCTACAGATGCACTGATTTTTTTTCTGAATTCATCACTACTTGCATATGTTGCATCTTTTATTCTTTCTTCTTTCCTTTCTGTTTTGCAGTTCTCTCAACCTCATTTGCGTTTGCTTTTGTCTTTCTGTATGTGCTGACATTGTTTTCTCTCTTCTGTTTTGTTCTCACCACTCTCCTAATTTCCTGTACTCTGTCGTGCACTGAATGGCAGGGAAAAGTTCCTCACTGAGATTCAGAGTCCCCGCTATGCCAGGCTGAGAGACTGGCATCACGAGAGATCCGCCCGTGCCCTCAACATCAAGTCCTGAGCGCTCTGCCTCCCTGCTATCAGACGGCCGAGGGGGCTGAGATGCAGCCGCACTAGATAAAAATGCACCACTGCAACACCGCGTGCCAGCTATGGGTGAACACCGACCCCAGCTATACCAGGACAAAAAAAATCGGGCATGAGGGGGTTGTCAAGTTAAAATTTAAAAATACAAGTTAAAAATAGCAAAAACAAATGTGCGAAGAAATGCAGGCATAGTCGGGAAAACCATGCAAACTGAGCCCTACAGTCAAGTTCCCGTTAGGAATATCTGAATGCTGTTGGTGTGACAGTCTCTTTCAAGTGGTATCGTTTCTACAAACTGATAATCATGTTATTTTATTGTTGTTGTTATTTTTGTGCTCGTTCAGAGGAGTTATCCATCACAGGACTGTTACTATTGCTCCTTCTTTCTGTTTGTGTTGTGTAGCCCCCTCGTGATTTTTCTCAACTTTCTTTCTCCTTTATATTTCATTCTCTTTTTTTCCTCACTGTAATTTAACATAATGCACTATTATGATGTCATCTGATTGCTCTTCCTCTGGTTCTGTCTCCAATAAGATAAAAGAATCTGTTGACTCATGTCTCCGAGTACATAAAACATTGCAATACTCTCTGCTGTCCTCCTTTATTTTCTTAAAGATTTGCTTGTTCTCTTTTCTTCATTTCAACATTTAGCATTTTGTGTGCTGCTGTTTCCTAGTTCTTTGGAGAAATGATGGTAAAAACAACTAACCTTTTTAATTGTTATTTAATTCACTCCAGGCCAACTTAGCCTGGTTTAAATAGCTTTTTTCAGCAGATAGATTGTGGATTTAGATCTTGCTAGCTAAGCTCAATATTCTAAGCATTGCTTAGCACAAGTATTACGTAAAATACTGCATTTTTTAAATCGATGGAACAGTTTTATTTTGATCAAATTCTGCAGCTTCTAGATAAAATTCAGTGCTGTGCATTCTGGGATTGGCAATTTTATGTTAGATTTCATCCAAAACAAGGTGAGAAACGAGTGTAATTTTGCTGCCTACTGTTTGGAACAGGCATGCTGTTGTGGTTGTGGCTATGGTGCCTAAAAATATTGCCTAGGTGGGCAGCTCACTAGGATTTGGAACATAACTAAAATGTTTTTCAGACTGGGATTTATGCAAATAAGAGATTAATTAGACATTGTTTGGAATCAGTATGCGTTGATTCTAATTCTGTACAAATTTCCGGCAAGAGATTTAATCATTCTATATCTTGCTTTGCCCAGCTGGTATAATTTAAAGCAGTTTTTGGCGATGAAAACACAAGACAGACTTGTTTGACTTACTCTATATATGTGAATGACATGTTTACGCCTAAATCTCAAATTTGACTTCCAAAGGGGGTCCCAAGATCACATAAAATTATTTAAAATAAGACAAAAAAGCATTAAAAGAAGCTAAAACAACAAAAAATATATTTTTAAAATAAGATTCTTAAGGTTTTTTTTTTTTTTTGAAAACCCGGATAATTCGGTAGCCTTATTTTAGAAGTGATTTCTAGCCTTTGGAAAAGTCATGTAAATGAATAAAATCTTAAAACGCCATGAGCATTTTTTTTTTTTTTTTAGAAAGAATATAGTTTTTTTGTTGTTGTTCTTGTTATCCCAAGCTGTAATAAATAAAAATTATTCAGTGAAAATTCAGTAAATCCGTTAAATGTAAAATGTTTTTATTTACAACTGAAGCAAAAAACACCCATTCTTTATTTTAATTTGATTATAGTGACATCCCGTGAAGTAGTTTTAATCTCATCGCTTTGTTCAGGAGTGTACTTTCTATCCAGGATGTAGATGTCAGAGGTTGTGTTGTGTAGCTTAAAAACATTTTCATTGGCTCTGGCTAAAGCTGTTTTATCAAGCCATGTGTACTGAAAGGAAATTTTCTTTCTACAGTCACGGAGTAACTCCCTGTCCTGCCGAGTCCAAGCCAGCAGACAAACCTGATGAAGTTCAAGGTAAGTACTCTCAGAACAGACAGAATAGATTGACTCTCACAGTCACAGTACACACTGACTCACAGCCCAGATTCACTCCCACAGGGAGAACTTAACTCCCATAAAACAGACTTGTTCACGGAGCGGCCCGGCTGGCCCAGACAGGCCTGCTGTTAATGGGAAAAGTAAGACATAAGTGGCACTGATGTGTTTATAGTCAAAGATGATAATATGAGTCAATTATCACTCTCTTGAGATGTGGTTTATATAAGCTGAATTAAACCATGAGCCACTCCTAATGCTCTCCTCTCATGGTGTTAGCAGCATCTCGATAGATGTCTTTGTGTTATAGGTTGGTCCCTGGATAAAAGCAAGCCAATTTAGACTACAATTGCACTCGTTTTAATAGCAGCCCATAAATGTACACACTTGTAACAGGTCTCTGTTGACCCATAGTGAGGAAGAGCTGAAAAAAATATATGTATAGAGTTTTATTGTCCTTATGTTTTTTTGTGTTTTTTAGCGCAGGCTAAAGCACCAACCGATTCCGGTCCAGCCTGCCGGCCGCCATGGGTGACAGATCCCAGTTTTGCAGACCGTTACCACCCAGACAAGACCAGCACAGTGGTGACGCAGCACAAGAAGCCAGTCCAACCCACTCCCATGCAGAACCGCAGCTCCATCATGCAGGCAGCGCAGCAGAACCCTGGCGACTCCAGCGGCTGCACCCCGCTCTGCGCCGCATGCAACAAGATCATTAGGTACGGCTGGAACTCTACCGCCTCTGGAGTCAAACTTCAGGACTGACTGAAAATTTACAGTTACAGGAATAGTTCACACAGAAATGAACATTTGCTGACAATTTGCTCACTCTCAGTCCATCTAAGATATAGATAAGTTTGTTTCTTAACATTACATAATTTACTCACCAATGGATCCTCTGCAGTGTGCAATGGGTGCTGTCAGAATGAGAGTCCAAACAGCTGATGAAAACATCGCAATACAAGTAATCCACACAACCCCAGTCCATCAATTAACATCTTGTGAAGTAAAAAAGCTGCGTATTTTTAAGAAACATATCCATTCATACTTTTTAAACTCCAAACCGTTGCTTCCGGCTAAAATACGAGTCTTCTGTCCATCATATTGCTTTCTCCAGTGAAAAATTAATCTCGTCTGAATAAGGAGAGAAATATGTACAGATTGAAACTGTTTCAAAACAGTTCTAAACAAATATGATGGTGGATTTTGATGTGAGAGGAAGGGGATGGCCTCACTTGTATTTTAGCCGGAAGCAACAGTTTGTTTAAAATGTTTAAATGATTTGTTTATAACAAACACGCAGCTTTTCACTTTAAAAGACATAATTGATGGACTGGAGTCGTGTGGGTTACTTGTGGATTATTGTGATGTTTTTATCAGCTGTTTGGACTCTCATTCTGACGGCACCCATTCACTGCAGAGGATCCATTGATGAGCAAGTGATGTAATACTAAATTTCTCCAAATCCGTTCCGATGAGGAAACAAACTCATCTAGATCACCTGTGGGTGAGTACATTTTTAGCACATAGTTTCAGTCATTTTTGGGTGAACTATTCCTTTGAAATCCCAAAGCTAACCACTGCAGACAGCCCAAAATACCTCCAAATCAATGATGACTATGCGCTAAATGTCATTACTTACAAAACTCAGAGAAAACATGGGGAGGGAAAAAATGTTGTCAAACTTTGTCAGGCAGCAATATTTCTTAAAATACACAGAGCACAGAAATAGCGCCATGTCCTTGGGCTTTCTGCCGTGGAGAATCAATACGGAATGGAGTGGGCTTCTGCGTCTGACCTACTATTTCCATTAGAATGGCTTTTGCACACTGAACACTTAAGAGTGCTAAACCCAGCTGCTGATGGGATTTTCACATTTTTTAATGTGAAAGCTGACCCTTTCACATTAATGCAAAAGCTTTTGTTATAAGACTGTGTTTGTGTGTCCGTGTTCTAGGGGACGCTACGTGGTGGCGCTTGGTCGTTCCTGGCACCCAGAGGAGTTCACGTGCTGTCAGTGCAAAAGGGTGTTGGACGAGGGGGGCTTCTTTGAGGAAAAAGGATCCATTTACTGCACCAAATGCTACGACAACCATTACTCACCCAGCTGTGCCAAATGCAAGAAGAAGATAACTGGGGTAACTGCATTTCCTACTGTTCTGCAACATAAACACACAATGCAGTTTTTTAGAATTTTCCTGTTCTGCAGTGGTATCTGCACTGAACAATTCAAACTGAGTGGTGGACTAGTTTGTTAAATCATTAATGATACTAGTATAATTTTATGAACTACACTATCATTCCAAAGTTTGCGGTCAGTAGAATTTATTAATGTTTTTTTAAAGAAAATAATAATAATAATTTTTTTAATATATATATATATTATAAAATTGTAATAATAAAATGTTATAATACTATAAAATTGTACTGTTTAATAAAAAAATGCAGCATAAGGGCCATATGTTAAATTCATATATTGTTCTAAATCTTCATATTCACTAATTTGTTAGTATTATTTGATATTTATTAATGTCTTGACAGAAATGATTATTAAGCATTACCAGGATTTAATCAATATAATGCATTAAATACAACACAAAAAGTGAGAAACAAAATACACGGTAAGGTAATGTTATGGACAGTATGTCAAAATGACCTCAAAAACAAACAAAAGCTGTTGATTCTGATTGTATGAAGCTGGTAAGGAAGAGTAGTTCCAGTAGGTTAAAGTGTGTGTGTGTGTGTGTGTGTGTGTGTGTGTGTGTGAGTGTCAGTGTTTCCCCTAGGTTTACGGCTTTTGGGGGGGGTTCTGTTTTTTTTCAGTTTTAATTTTTCTGGACTCTTTTTTTTTTTTTTTTTTTTTTTTTGTTTATATTTTTAAAAAACATTTTAACTAATATGGTGAAATAATTTATATCTTATAAAGAATACATACATACATACATATGGGACTAGTGAACTATGGGACTAGTGAAAATATATATATATATATATATATATATATATATTATTTATTTTTTTTTTTTTTACACTTTTTATTTATGGGACTAGTGAAAATTATGATAGGAAATTATTGGAAGGAGGAGTGGGAAGCATTGGATTCAAACCTGTTTTGCCAGTGTTTGTACTTTATTTTCTTTTTCTCTTTGCTAGTGAGACTAGTGACAA